GGGGGCGGGAGTCGCGGTGGCGGGGGGCGCTCGTCGGCTGGGGGTCAGGGGGGCGGCGTCGCCCGGGGAGGAGGACAGGCTAACGGTGGCGACGGTGGTGGCTCGTCGTCGGCCTTGGCGGTGCAGGGTGGCAGCAAATAGGAGTGCGGGCTCCGCCGGGTGGCGGGGCCAACTCCAGTGTCGGTTCCAGCTGAGAGGCCGCAACAGCAGCCAGGTCATAAGGAGATGGCGTCCCGGGCCTTGGCTGGCGTGGGGATCCGAGGCGAGCGCTGGGAGGGCTTGCCCGGAGTGGCTTCCGATTTGGAGTCAGGTACCAGGCAAAGTTTTGAACAGGTTTCGCCGTGTGAGGTTGAAGAGTGGCGGGTGGCTGTGTCTGCGTTGGCTGCGTGTGAAGCTGCAGAACGGTACGTCCATCTTAACCATGTGGCGCATGTGGGTTCAAACTTGCTTCGACGGTGTGGGGGACGCGTGGAAAGGTTCGTCGCCGCTGTTGGCCAGAAGTTCTTTCTGCCCCATGTCGATGTGATGCGTGTCAAGGCGCATTTTGGTGACGTGAAAAAGTTTCCCCGAGTTAGTCAACTTCTGAGATCGTTGTCTCCGGGTGCGCCGGTTGACGTGGGCTTAGGTGGGAACCTGGACGCTGAAGTGGCGTACGGCAACCATCCTAGCGCGTTACTGCACAGAGATCGGATCACAGACAAAGTTGTACCGGACGTGATCTTGGGGCGTGAGTTGGTTTTCGATGTTCGGTTTATTCGAGAAATCTTAGGTGTTAGAGTGTCGCCGTTGGGCGTCATCGACAAACCGAAGTTCAGAATTATTCACGATCTCACGTTCACCTCTGGCGTGCCCATCCGTACCAGCGTAAATCACGATACAGACTTTGATCAAGCACCCGAATGCCTCTTGGGTCATGTTTTGAGTGATATTCTGAAACGGGTGCTGTATTTGCGACAAGTACACGGCGTGTCGTTGGAAATTCTCATCTGCCGCATTGATGTGAAAGAAGCCTTCCGACAAATCCCGGTGGATCCGTCTCGGGCATCGGTTTTTGGGTACACGATCGGCGATCACGCGGTTGTTGACCTACGGTGTCAATTTGGATGGCGGTCGAGCCCAGGGTTTTGGTCCTTGTTCTCGTCCGCGTTGGAACACTCACACACACACACTACATTTCAAGACGCGTCCGTCTCTCCCGCCGGTGCTGCGGCTGTGCAGCATGTTCAAGTAGTGTCCCCACCAGACGAAAGTACAGCGGTGCCGTTACCTGTTGATTGCCAGACTATTGTGGGCGACGGGGCGTTTGCTGGTTCTCCGTTTTTCGTGCGATACTACGTTGATGATGGCGTGTTGATTGAAGGGAGATTTTTCGCTGATGGCCGCCGATGTTTGCGCGCGGTGCGTTCTCTCGCTACGGATCACTTTCGTCTGCTGGGAGAGAGAGGCCCAGCAGACCCGCCGTTGTTGTCGCAAGGAAGGATCACAGATTTCGCTATTCGTTTGGATGTGTTGGGTTGGACATTGGACACTCAGCAACTCACGATTACTATGACCGACACGAAACAGCAGAAACTGGGACGCATATTGGCTGCGTGGCCCGCGACGCGGAAAGTCGCTACAGCTCGTCAAGTAGCCGAGTTGACAGGGTTTCTTATGCACGTTTCGTTCGTGTTGCGGCCAGGAAAGTTCTTTGTGGGGCGCCTTTTATCCGCGGTCGGGATGCCCGCTTCGTCTACTTTCGCGTCCCAAGTGCCAAACCCGAACAGACGTGTAGTGCTGGGTCCATTATTCCACGATGACCTCGAATTTTGGCGGTGGTTCCACAGGCGTGGTCTCTCGTTGCGCGGCGGAAGTTTGTGTGCACCCATGTACAATATTTTGGAACGCCCGCCTGCACTATCCGTGTTCACCGATGCGTCTAAGCAAGCAATTGGAGGGTATTGTTTGCAAACGGGCCACTACTTTCGATATGATCTGTCTGTGAAAGAGCAAGCTTGCTTTGTGGGGTCGAGCAAATCGGTCCAGGGGGTTCATGATGTCAGCATCAACGTGTTAGAGCTCCTTGGCATGGTCATGGGGGCATGGATGTTGGTATTGGGCCGAAGTCACCAGCCTGTGGAGGCGGGTGATTGTGTGCGCCTTCGAGGAGACAATGAAGCAGCGACGGCGTGGATTGAGCGTTGTCGGGGGGGCCTTGAGCCTCGATCGGGGGCGCTGGTGCGCCTACTGGGGGCGCTGGAGGTAGCCAGCGGGTGGCATTTCCACGCGACCCATGTTCCCGGCATACTCAACTCGCTTGCGGATGGTATCTCCCGTTGGAATACTAACGACGTTCACGATAACCTGTGCTCTGCCTCCCCTCATGTGGCCTGGCAGATCGTGGAGTTAGGCCCGAAGGAGCGCGAGTTGTGCTCCACCGTGCTGGCTTCGAGCTCGTCCGGCACGCACTTGCGCCATCGTCTGAACGAACTTACCTGGGATTTTTTGGAGCGTGGGTGAAGTTTCGAGAGGACGTTGTGGGGAGACCGACGTTTATGATGCCGTCGTCTCCATCGCCGGATAGTGTTTCGCAATTGTTGGAGTACGTGGCATACGCGTTCACGGTGCTGGGCTTGAGGCAGACGACGATAGCTGGTCATTTGTCTGCTGTTAAATTTTTTCATCGTTTGGCGTATGCGATGGAAGTTGATACATGTCATTCTTTGATCAAGCAAGCGCTCAAAGGGGTGGCGCGAGGGCATGCGGGTGTTGGTGCACAGCAACGGGTGCGACGTCCGGTGTCGTGGTCGATGCTGAAGGAAGGGGGGCGTCTGGTGCCACAGTGGGGCACGCGTGGGCGCGTGTTGTTTCTGGCGTTGAGTGCGTCATTTTTTTTCTTGATGCGGGCATGCGAAATGTTCGCTGTGTCCTCGTTGGCCATGGATTCTTGTCATGGGTTGCGTCGGGGGGACGTGGCGTTTTTTTTGGGTTCTCGCCAGTTGCCTCCGGAACGGAGGGGAGAGGCCGACAGAGTCGAGGTGCGGTTTCGGTCGTCCAAAGGCGACCAGTTTCGGAAGGGCGCCGTGTGTACGCGGGCGAGGCCGGGGCCTCCCCAGTCTGTGGAGTGTGGGGGGGGTGCAGTCGATGTGATGATTGAACTCCTTTCATGCTTCCCTGTTCTCCCTTCGTCTGCTCCGTTAGTCGCGTTCGGAACCGGGGAGGGGCGATGGTCCGTGTGGACTCGTCGTCACGCGACGGAAGCGCTGCGGCAAGTCGTGTCGTTGGCGGGTCTGAAGAGTCCGAGTACGCGTTGCATTCCCTTCGGATTGGGGGCGCCACGTACTTGGCAGCGGGGGGAGCGTCGCCAGAAGTTCTGAGACGAGAGGGGAGATGGACTGGGGAATCGGGGTATCGGCCGTACGTAAGGAACCATGGGAAAGATGCAGAGTGGGTTTCTAGTACCTTGGCGTCGGAGGGTGATTCAGAGAGGCAACCAGGACAGGGTACAGAGTGGGGTGACGTAGTCCTGAGGCTGGTGATGGCGAGCCGTAAAAGGAGGGGGGAGTGAATGCAATCAGGGTTATTGGTACAAGAGTGGGAACCACGGTAGGGGGGGAGAGAGAGTACAGATCAGTATGGAAACCAGTCCGCAGTTAGGTTGGGGGCAGGCATGACTTTGAGAGTATGCCTGATGGTGCGGTGACTGGTTTATACTGATGGTGTTGTGGACGGGGATAGGTTGAGATCCCCGAGTTCCGCTCTTCTCTCCCCCCCCTGTTCAAGCGTGGGGGGGTACGACCAATTAATGTAATTTCGAAAGCAACGAACAAAGCAGAAGATTGCAGAGACAGAGGCGTTGAAATCTGAGTTTTGTGAGGAGCGGAAGATGAAATATCTGTTGGCCAATCAGAGTGCAGCAGCATGGAGTCAGCGTGAAGTGTTCGAAACCTGACCAGAAGAGTAGACTTGGGAGCACTTGTTGGTCTGCCCCAAGGAAGCACGAGGGAGGCTGCTGCAGCCAAGAGGTATTTCGGAGGAGATCTATTTCTTTCCCACCCACCCACCCTTTTGCTTTTGGGGGTGTCAGTGGTAGGGCGAGGACGGATCGCCAGCAGTGGTAAATGAGGAAGGTGTGGTCGTTTGCCGATACTGCTGATGGGGCGAGGGTGTTTGGGTAGATGATCCTTGCCCGGGTGTGTCTGTCGCGCTAGGGATGTTGGCGGTACTCTCAGTGCGGGTGAGAGCGCCTAAGTTGCTGTGCCACGAGCGGCGAGTGCACAGTGACTGGATGATTGGTTATGGTCGACAGGGTCGGCCGTAGCCGTGGGCCGGCGGTCGGGAGCGGGGGCGGGTGCGAACCCAACGTGGGGGTTCGCGAGGTACCGCGTGTGTGCGACCGTTGATGAGCTTGACGAGGTAGCGCGACTAGACATGGGCACGCAGTGGTGTACTTCACGGTGCATCACAATCAATGTGGTACATGTGCGGTATATTGAGGTTGGTATATCGGAACATGCGTGCAATTTGGAGAGAAGAAAGGGGGGCAGGCATGACTTTGAGAGTATGCCTGATGGTGCGGTGACTGGTTTATACTGATGGTGTTGTGGACGGGGATAGGTTGAGATCCCCGAGTTCCGCTCTTCTCTCCCCCCCCTGTTCAAGCGTGGGGGGGTACGACCAATTAATGCAATTTCGAAAGCAACGAACAAAGCAGAAGATTGCAGAGACAGAGGCGTTGAAATCTGAGTTTTGTGAGGAGCGGAAGATGAAATATCTGTTGGCCAATCAGAGTGCAGCAGCATGGAGTCAGCGTGAAGTGTCTGAAACCTGACCAGAAGAGTAGACTTGGGAGCACTTGTTGGTCTGCCCCAAGGAAGCACGAGGGAGGCTGCTGCAGCCAAGAGGTATTTCGGAGGAGATGTACTTCTTTCCCACCCACCCACCCTTTTGCTTTTGGGGGTGTCAGTGGTAGGGCGAGGACGGATCGCCAGCAGTGGTAAATGAGGAAGGTGTGGTCGTTTGCCGATACTGCTGATGGGGCGAGGGTGTTTGGGTAGATGATCCTTGCCCGGGTGTGTCTGTCGCGCTAGGGATGTTGGCGGTACTCTCAGTGCGGGTGAGAGCGCCTAAGTTGCTGTGCCACGAGCGGCGAGTGCACAGTGACTGGATGATTGGTTATGGTCGACAGGGTCGGCCGTAGCCGTGGGCCGGCGGTCGGGAGCGGGGGCGGGTGCGAACCCAACGTGGGGGTTCGTGAGGTACCGCGTGTGTGCGAACGTTGATGAGCTTGACGAGGTAGCGCGACTAGACATGGACATGCAGTGGTATACTTCACGGTGCATCACAATCAATGTGGTATATGCGCGGGATATTGAGGTCGGTATATCGGAACATGCGTGCAATTTGGAGAGAAGGGAGGGGGGCAGGCATGACTTTGAGAGTATGCCTGATGGTGCGGTGACTGGTTTATACTGATGGTGTTGTGGACGGGGATAGGTTGAGATCCCCGAGTTCCGCTCTTCTCTCCCCCCCCTGTTCAAGCGTGGGGGGGTACGACCAATTAATGCAATTTCGAATGCAACGAACAAAGGGAGGGTGTTAAGGGCAGGGGGGTATTAAGGGCAACTTTTTTCAAATGGGCATACCTCGGCGCACACTCTGCCGGCCCCCGTTTTTTTTTCTAATTTTGTTCAGCTTTCCGTTAGCTTTCGTTTGAGCACTTCAGCGTCGCGATCGGGTCTCGCAGTCACGAGATACAGCAACCCGCCCACCAGCACTCTTGATGTGGGGCATCTTAGCCCTTGTCGGGCTCCTGCTGCTAAGCATGGGTCGGCAGAGAGTGGACCCCGTAGCCGCTGAAAAGGCGTGTGAAGCGGTACGCAGCGGTCGCATGTCACAGAACGCCGCTGCAGCTGCCTTTGGGTTGGGTAGAAGCTCCCTCCAGCGGCGTCTGGATGGTAATTGCGCCATGGACGCGAGGGTTGGCCCCGGGACTGTCATGACCAAAGCAGAGGAGGACGCGGTGGAAGATCTCCTGTTGTACGCTGGTAGAAACTTCATTCCTCTCACCACCGCAGACCTCACGGAACGCGTGAGACGGCTCTGCAACGACGGTCGGCCGATCCCGTGGAACAGTGACAAGGGCCCGGGGAAGGACTGGCTCAAGGGCTTCCTCGGAAGGCACTAGGGCATCACCCATCGACTCGTCCGCATCTACGAGTCTAACCGGGTGACCTCGTCAGAGGATGAGCGTCTGCACAAGTTCTACGATTTTTGGGCGGAGTTTCTCGGCGAGCACAGGCCTGCGGGCGACCACATTTGGAACACGGACGAGTCAGGTGAGCATAGAGTAATCTAGACTACTGGTGTGGTGTCAGCAGCAGCTGCGGTGTCGCGGTTTGCGGGCTTGTTTCTACGTTTTCGGCAGAAGTGCACAATGTGAAAATTACGCGGAGTTCTGATGCTGAAAATTGGAGTTCCCCCGTTCCCCCGCATGCACATGCTGCGTGCAGAGGATCACTGCTGGATGAACGCGCAAATTGCTGTTGTGTACGCTGGGTGCTGCTCGGGGTCCTTGATCATGTCGGCAGTAAATACACATGCTGTTTGAAAGGAATATTCGCATGGTGCCACACATGTTCTTACGCAGCACAGACGCGAAATTGACGTGTGGAAGTTGAAGCTGTTTGTGATGCCGCTGCGTTGTGCATCTTGCTCACCTCCTCGACTAGTCTACTGCTGTTACTCTGAAGCCTAGATCTAGATGTCTTTTCGCCCTTGGCCCAAAGGCTAGATTGTACTCTACACTTCTGTTATTGTGAAGCAGCTCTGCAGCAGCTGGGGAACATTTCACATGTGAGGACATTCCACCCTGTGCGTCTGCCCTACCCGTTCCCCCGCGCCCCCAACCCACGGTAGGCTGGACGTTGGTGGTGCGTGTGAGCGCTGTTTTGCCTCTTCTTACTCTCCATCCGCTTTGATTTCCCCCACGCACGCCTTTCCACCACAAATTATCATTGTAGGTGGCACCATTCAAGGTGCCCAGGGACAGCGGGTCTATGCGGAACGGGGGCAGCCGGTGGTCCCGCAGATGCGTTCCACTTCGCGAAAGCACTGCACGATCGTCACCATCAACGCCGCCGGCGCCGTGTTGGCCCCTACCATCATCTTCAAAGGGCAGCGTTTCAACGGAGATTGAATCGTGGATCAGGACGGCCCGCCGGGTGCGACGTACACCTGCACGGAGTCGTCCTTCATGTGTGGTGACGTGTTCATCAAGTACGTCATGGACTTCCACGAGCAGCTGCGCAAGCGCAACTTGCTCGATGGAAAACCCCATGTGCTCGTGCTGGATGGACACGCGTCGCACGTGAGC